CGGCTAGAGTAAGCGAAGACGGCCACCAACAGATTGGTTAGGTGAGGTTACTTGACTTCTCTATTTCTCTTCATTTTTGACATCGATGACATGACGGCACTCTCTCGAAAGACGTGCCGAGTAAGTACATCACCTTATTGAGGGCTCTCTACTCGAACACTTGTGGGCGTGTTACAGCCTATGGTGAGATGTCCGGGGAGCTGTGGTCATCGAGTGGTATCCGTCAAGGCTGCCCACTGTATCCATTGTTATTCAATTTTATCATAGATATTCTTATGGAGGTCTCCCTCTCGTCACCTTACTATATCCCTGGAAAATTTTCGTTAGACCTAGAATACGCAGATGACATAGTCCTGTTAGGCGAAGACGCTGATAAGATGCAGAGTCTTCTGAACACTTGAGTGGGAATTTGAGAATGTTTGGGATGCGATTTTCACCACCCAAATGCAAATTTTTGCTCCAGGACTGGTCTTCAGCGGTACCGCGGTTAACAATAGAGAGTGAAGTGGTTGAGTCTGTCAACCACTTCACTTACCTGGGAAGTAGGATCAGCCGTGCACTGGTGGCTCAGTGGCCGATGAGATTTCTGCACGGATACAAAAGGCTCGATTGGCTTTTGCCAATTCGCGCCACCTATGGCGCCGCCGTGATATCCGTTTGTCTACTAAGGGTCGCGTGTACTGCACAGCAGTCCAGTCTGTTATACTGTATGGCTGTGAAAAATGGCCATTGAAAGTAGAAGATATAAAAAGGCTGCTTCAGGTGTTTGACCACCGTTGCCTTCGTAGTATAGGACGTATTCCGTGGTGTCACCGCACCACGTGAGTAATGCAGAAGTGAGGTGTAGAGTTTTAGGGTGAATAGGTAAGTCAGTTGACGAGGTTATGAACCTTCATCGACTGAGATGGTTGGCTCCGACACGTGTTACGTATGCCTAGTCGCCGATTGCCTCGTCACACAATGTTATCCGAAGTAGGTCCAGGCTGGAAAAAGGCCTAGGTGGCCAGACTAAAACATGGCACCAATGTGTGAAGTGTTTGATCCTTGTTTTGAGTCATGTAGGCGATGCAGACTAGGTGGTTGGGGTCCGCGGGACAAGAGGAACCAGTAGTTGGAGACTTTAGGTGATCTGGCTGAGAACCGATGTCAGTGGCACAGATGTATACATACATTATCTTTATCTTAACGACGCTATACCGAATCTCACCATTTTCTCATTCTTCCTTTCTCTCTTTTAGTACTTTATATTTATTTTGACTGAATTTTCTTATCCTCATCTTGCAGTTCACTGCCTTTTTACTTGGTGTATTGATATGAGCTATGACGACTCAGAGTTACGCAGTAATGCCTGGTTCTATGTTGATTTGGATGATGATGATCGAGACATCACCTGAAATAGAGATACTCGATGGTATTGCAAACTTCTTACCAGGTCTTTTTTTCTATTTCTCCATCAATTTTTTTATCTTCTTACGGTTATTATATTACTCCTTTCTGACACATTTCTTGATGTCCATGTTGTAAACAGATTGTGTTCTACATAAATTAAAAAAGAGAAAATAATTCAACCATTTTTGGATCGTCAGCGGCTGAAGTTTAAAAAAGCACATCGGTTATAAGGAGTCATTTAAGAGACATAAAAGGGAATTTTTTTTTAATCCATATAGTTTCTCTCGACTATAAGGACATTCTTCATTTTTAGTCACTAAGGTTTTTTTATTCCATCATAGACAAATAGTTGTTTTTTACTGTATCTCTTGAGTACATAAGTCTGCCTTCTTTTTAGCTTGCTTTGTAATCTACAGAAAATGTCCGCAAAACACTTTTTTCAATAGACATTAATTTTACTTGAAATTTTTTCATATTGTTTTGTGTTTAATTTCGGTCTATTTCATGTATTTATATATATAGTTGTGACTCGTTGACTTTTTCAGCTGTAAATTGAAGGGGAACCGAGTGACAATATTCTTCTTTCCATACATACACTAACCTTTAATTTATTCCTTCCGCAGGTGTCGTTTGTCTATACAGTTGAAATAACCAGTCTTAGAAACAGCCAGATAGATAGCCAGACAGATAGATAGACAGACAGAATCAACTTAGAATCTCGCGCACAACTGCATCGTTTCAACTTGCTACACTTTACAGTAATGCACAAACAACATGTGGATAGAACAGGAGTGATGTTAAAGTAGACAAAGTTGTGTGAGAGAATAAACGATTTTAATGCAAATATTCTGGCTTTAGAAAAAGTCAAAAAGTGAATATATCTACGCCAGTGTGACTTATTTTAGTCACTGCAACAAAAGTAGTTCCTTAAAAACATTCCTTTTATCACGAGGACCCCAGTCAACTAGTCTACATCTCCCAACACGACTGAGACCAAAGGTAAAAGACCTCATGAACTGGTTCCAGGTCTTAGTCTGGCAACTTTCAGCCCTCTTCCAATTCGGTTCGACTTCCCTAGCATGCCATGTCGAGGTAGGTGGTGACTAGGCATGGAAAACATATGTCCAAATCATCTCAATGGACAAACCTTCATAACATCATCAACCAACTTGTCTGTCTTGTCTAGTACCCTTCACTTCACTTCACTTCACTTCACCTCAACAATACTCACAACATAATTCCACCAAACACAAGCAGTGTCACGAAGACATATATGAACAAACCTGTGTAACTGCTTCATATCTTCTACTATAAAGAACGATGTCTGACAGCCGTATAGAAGGACAGAACGAACTACATTACAGTATACTTGTTCTTTAATAAGTAGTTGGATATCTTGTGAGTTGGCTGCAGAAATGACAGAGGTTGGCAAATGCTGGACTGGCCTTATATATCCGAGCTGAGATCTCGTCAGCAACCAGCCCATTCGAGCTGATGCAACTCCCCAAGTAAGTGAAGTGGTCGACGCATTCCACCAATTCACTCCTTATCATTAAACTGGGAGTGGTTGTAGACCTGTCCTAGGACATCATCTTGCATCTGTCAGGTGCCGGCGAAACGCTTAACAGTCAAACTTACTCAGGTCTCTGCTCAGTGTGTCCAGAAGACGTTGCATTTTATCGACACCTTCGCCTAGGAGTTATCAGTCATTCTGGCCGAGGGCTTAGATTAAGGTTGGCCTATAATGATTTATATGGTCATGAGGTATCATTAACGTCACAGTAGTCGATGAGTTGTATTCATTATTTGTGACTGTTCCATATTCGCCATTGTTAGTTTTTTATCATTAAAGTGTTTCAAAAATGAGACGCTTTTTTCTTCTGAATTTGAGGAAATCAGTATTTTCATTGGATATCGTATGATGCACTCAAAATGCGTAAATGGTGCAGTTCTACTATATTGACATGATACATGATTATCTGGAAACCTTAGGCAGATACCATGGTACTCTGAAACAGGTATCCATCTGCTTAAAAGTAGTAAATGAATTTTATTGGTAGATTTTGCTGCTTTACGTAAAAAATTGGGTCAGTCCTTGTCAGCTGGTGCAGGTTATCTATCCCAGTTTATTCTAGTATGTAGTTGTAAAACATGTCCAGTGAGTGTAGATTATTAATTCAAGATATCGAAAGTGTTTACAAAACACTCCATCTAGATGATTGAAACGTCAACTGATTATGTTTTGGAGTTTAGTGCAGACTTTCGAAAATAAACTCAGATCATCATATTGTTTACTTACATCGACTGAAGTCAGTGAGAATACATTACATGTCTGCAACCACCATATATTGTCTCCTTACAGTGAATTAGGAGCTGAATGACGATGGGATGCTGGTATATTCAGCTGAGGAGTCCTAAGTGAGACGAAACTCACATCCTGGAGTCTGCTACTAGCCATTACCTCTAAGCCAATGAAATACATGACATTGATTTATGAGTTCCTATTGTTTTAGTTTGAGACATGGAATTTTCTTGGCTAGAGTAGTCAGAGCATTAGTTTGTTGTGGGTTTACACTTAAAGCGGAATTTACTCTAAGTTGCATATATTAGTGTGAAGACATTTACCCGTTACATCTCGTTAAATTTTGAATAAATTATCATTCTATGGATACTTACTTCCCTTCACTTCATGTCTTTTCGATGTATCATTGTGATTTTTTTCTTTCTACTCGTTCTTTGATTATGTACATGTTGAATTGAGAGGTGGTACCACCGGTTTCTATGTTTCTTTTTTTCATATTTATTGAGTTGGTTGTTGTGAATGTTTCAGATAATATTTCCTACTGGTATTATAACTACATTTAACTCTTTACCGCTTCTTCTGTTTCATCTCAATAGACAAGCTCATTAAGTCATTATATAGGATTATATTTTAGTCGGCTTCAATGTTTACCAACAACAAAGCATTTAGGACATTTTTCATGTAAATATATATCATTATATCATTGTTCACTACTTTCTGAGTGTTATTATGACCACGAATTAACAATATCAGTTGGCAAATGAGATTTACTATATACAGCTCTGTTTCGTTGCAATTTTTTTAACAGTATGCACTTTGATCCTTTGGATAGGCTGAATTTCAAGGCTGTTAGCTCCTTTGATAAATTCATTATCAGTGAGGATCTTTCTTTATGATAAGACTAGTGAACATTTATTCTCAAACGTTTGCAAAGATTATTTTGTTTTAGTAAAGCTAAATCATATTACTGACGCGAAGTGAACTAGTGAGACTAAATGGTAGTTTTCTAATAGTTTTAGTCCTCAAGTAATTCAGTTTAAAGGTTTGTAGGAATTTATTTATTGATTTCAAGTCGGTAATCATCACGCACTGCTGAGGTATCCCATACTGGAATGAAATGGCTTTCCAGTGCTTTTAGGTTGCTGATAGTTCTACAAATGATGTCAGTCCGTAATGAAGGCCAATTTCAAATCGACAGTGTTTATTTTTATGGACCTTTTGAACAGGTTTCGTGCATTTTTCTTTTGCTAGATTGCACCGTTTGAAATTTGACCCATTTGTTGTATTTTTCCCTTCTATCTGATTTTAGTCAAACAAAACTGAGAAGACCATGGTACAGAGAAACGTCTAGTGCAGAAGAGAATGAAAGAGCACGTCAAGCTTATCGTGCTCTTATGACTGTAACACTTCTTAAACCTGACAGTCCAGAGTATCGAACATTCACTGAAGAAGTAAGAGCTCGGGCTCTGCGTGATTATGATTTTAGTTATCGGGATTCGGAGGTAAGCAGAAGTCTTATTACTCTATTTCATATTCGAAATTTTGATATTTTTATATTTCATGTCAGTGTGAGGCAACCTTAAAGGCCACCCTAGCAATTATTGGGATAGCAAATCAGCTTTCAGTTTTTTGGCTGGGAAGGCAGTTAATTTAAAATGAAGAAACATAATTGGTTATCTCAGCAGTTGCTAGAGTGACCTTCAAAGTCACTCCCAGTGTGGTAGTACAATGTATTCTTGATAAACTTGGATTGCACGAAATATGTGAAACAACAACACCGCCTGAAGTTTTTTGATACTTCCTAAACATCCTTTTTCGTTTGCCAATATTCACCCAGTTCAGTTTCATGTTTTTGGATACTGAGTAGGTAATGCATAGGTTTTCAAGCACTGACCATTGACACTGTAGCTTGCAGGTTTTGTGATGATAGATATCAGAAGTGCTATACTGTCGATTTACCTAGAACAGAAGGCCTGCTTGGAATTTGCCAACCTCTGTCATCTCTGCAGCCAACTCACAAGATATCCAACTACTTATTAAAGAACGAGTATACTGTAATGTAGTTCGTTCTGTCCTTCTATACGGCTGTCAGACATCGTTCTTTATAGTAGAAGACATGAAGCAGTTACACAGGTTTGTTCATATATGTCTTCGTGACACTGCTTGTGTTTGGTGGAATTATGTTGTGAGTATTGTTGAGGTGAAGTGAAGTGAAGTGAAGGGTATTAGACAAGACAGACAAGTTGGTTGATGATGTTATGAAGGTTTGTCCATTGAGATGATTTGGACATATGTTTTCCATGCCTAGTCACCTCCTACCTTGATGTAGGTTAAACTGGAAATAAACAGGGGAGTGGTCAATCTAAGAAGTGGCACAGACCCATGGGGTCAGTAAATGTTGTTCTCAGCGGTGCGAAAAGGTGTACATTAACCAATTCAGGTTCTCAAGATATTATACATTATCATTCCGCGATGGTCAGTGACATAGTTGAAAAGTGATTGCAGGGACGTAAATTTACCCACTCCTCATCAGCTTCAATATTCTAAGTATTCTATCTATTATTTATTTATTTGTCCCTTGAGTTTTTATTGGAAAATAGGGCTTCACTAGCACGTCGCTAATTCACTCTCTTCTCTCCAGTCTTTCAAACTGGCCCCACAACTGCCCACAAGCTTTCATTTCTTCCTCACACCATCTCCTCCATGTCACCCTCGCCTCGGACGCTTAACTCGTCGTTTCCCATTCGGGTTCCACTCCAGGCATGGCCTGGTCTGACACGTGATGATGTCCCCAAATGGTCTTCTCAGCGTATCTTTATTCCTTAACTGGTAGTCTGAATCGATTAACTTTTCTATGTAGCTCTACACCATTCTGTTTGTCTTCTCATCAATCTGACTAATTTTGGCTTCATCTAATCTACATGGCTATGGAAGTGAACCGCTTCAATCTAGCACACTTCAAATGCAGCAGAAATGTATGATTATATAAATATGATGCATTGGATGGTTCGATTGGTAGATACAAAGGATAGACTGCATATTCCGCAACTATGTTGAGATATTCGTCAAATTATCGCACACTTTGATAGTCTTATTAGACTGATCGGTGTAAAGATGATCATATCACTGGATCGGGATTGAGATCGGGTACGCATTTTCATGGGGTTTTCAGTTCAAATAAGATTTATTTATTAGTTTTGAAGTCGGTATTCATCACAGATTGAGATCAATTGAAGAAACAATAAAAACCTGTGGATACTGGACAGGTATTCGGTCCTAGCACAGAACTCCTCAGCAGTGTCTACCCATGACCTCACCCCATCAAGGGTCTAGTCTAGGACCTTTAGGTTTCTCTGTGACGTGCTCACTGTGAGACTTTAAGGTCTCGAGATTGACCCCTGGTGCGGTCATGAGTGCGCACTACTGAGGAATTCCATGCTAGGATGGAACAACTGTCCAGTGCTCCCATGTTTGGATGGCATCTACTTCCCTTCCGACTGGTTGACCCTACTGATCACGGCTTCTCATTAGAACTTAGAGGTATCCATCTAGAAACATTCCACTAACGAACACTATACAGTAATGTATTTTTGAGGTGAATGGGGATTTTAGTTTTGAAGTAGTATTCATCATGGACTGATATCAGTTAACGCGTTTGGCGTGAAACCTAAAGGTCCAGAGTCCGATCCATAGCCAGGTCTTGGGTGCCTACCGCTGAGGAGTCCTATACTAGGACGAAACAGCTGTCCGGTTCTCCCAGGTTTTTAGTGATTCTTCAACTGATGACATTCCATGATAAATACCACCTCAAAATATTTTATTCTCAGATTATAAATTTAACACTTTATATAACCTGTATCTAGTTTGACTGAATTTATCACATGGATACCCGTTCATGTTCTCGACTATGTTTTCCTGATCTTTAAAACACTAACCAGTTTCTTAAAACAATTGACCTAACTTATTTGAATATTTGTTATAGTTATTATTTACTTATTTATTTAAGTTGTACGCGAAGGCCCTGTGGAATAAGATGATGGCGTCATCTTCTCCTCAGTAGTAAGCATCCAAGATATTCAGATCTCGTGGAGAGTATACAACCATTTCACCATTGGATTGCAGTCCTACAGTCCACATTCTCCTACTTCTGTCAATTCACGATTAAGCACTGCCATCATCCAATGCAGTTGACGAATATTTGTCCTCACACCCAGAAACCCCGAAACTAAATCACCGCACAGTGCTCATTACTGACATTCTTCGAGATAGATTTCTCGAAGTTCTAATAAAAAGTCGTGGCCTGTGGGAGTAACTGAATAGGAAATAAAGTGGGTACCCACTGATGATATTGGACGATGACCGCACTATGTCACGAAATGACAGAAGTAGAAAAAGTGGACCAATGGATTCTGACCCAGCGGCTGAATGGTAATTTGATCGCTGCAAAACCTGACCTGAGTGCTTACTACTATGGAGTTCCATATTAGGACGTAACAGCTGTTCAGGGCTCCTATGTTTCCAATGATCCTCCAACTGAGACGTAATCCCATGATGAGTACTACCTTGGTATTAGTTTTTACGGAGTATAAAAGAAAAGATGCCTACTTTAGAATAGATCTAGCTGCTCTTTTCCTAACCTGTTGTTAATGTAGTCACTTTTCAAAAGCATGTTGTCGGTGTCAGTGGATGGACAGATGTATAAAAATGTGTTTATTTTGTGTTTCTTTTAACTGTCATGGTAAAATACATAGAGTATTGTTAATCTCTAGATAGGATGCATCTCAATAAATTATAACCAACCTTACCGTTATGAATGGTGGCTGTGTATGCCAGTTATTCTATTTATGAGAGTGTAGTTAAACGAGTTTTAGTCAATAAGCCGTTTGGTATATACTTGTAGTAGTCGTCCTATGTATGTAATATCATATTGGTTAGGATACAGACCTACAGAAGTCAGGTTTTCCTACTCAAGGTTAATTTTTCAGCAAAACCGAATCGTTGTCAGTGGATAATCCCTTCCAATCTTAACAGCTTTCAAAAAATAATAATAAACATGCAGTTTGCAGCCTATTAGTTAGATATGACTTATCATCTGTGTGATGATTTGAATCAAATATCACAATGGCAATCTTCAACATCTTGTCAGTATATCTTTTTATCCACTGGTTCTAAACTGTTGGCAATCATGACTAAACTGAATGGAGGATGGTGTTAATTGATAGGTGTTTGAAAAAGTAACATCTATTGAAAGTCTCGATCTTGTGTAGTAAAGTGTTAATATACACTAATTGTGAAGTCATGGCTACTTCTTTCAAACGCCTTATAGGTACTATCAGTGTATGTAAAAACGCAGTGAAATATAATAGCATACATTGCACTTAAATTACAGGTTTATTAATCGGTGTACTGACTATACAGTGTTAAATTTGCCTGGCTGTAATTGTCTTAAGCACGTGATTCTACCGATTCAGTCTTAACTCTGACCTTGAACGTGATTGGCCTCGAATATACTTGTCCAGTCTAGTTCGTATGCCCAGTTCACGCACACTATGAGTCACACAATTCAGCACTTCTGACAGATTACAAAAGAACCCAAAGTCGAGGCTTATTCTCCGTGTATCTTAGGCGACCTGATTCAGCCGTATAAACAAGTGAATAACCTGACCACAAGGTACCATTAATTTATCAAGATGAAGCAACTGACTTGGAGCACAAAAATAAGGTAATGCACGATAAGAAAAAGACATGTATCAACTAAGAAGAAATATTTATTTTCAGCAACTTCATTATCAAGCTGTACAGCAGTCGTATTTATAGTCGGTAAAAAATGACAGATAATTGCACTAAAAAGTTACTCAGTCAATATGCAAAATATACAATAGATGTAGGAGGTGGTATTCGTTCAAGTGGAACAGGTAGAAAATAGGTCACTGTGAATAAGGAACGAATCGACAACATGTGATGAGATAAGGGATAAGTGTTGTCAAAGAATTGTAAAAGAGTGGTAATTTAACTGAAACATGCAAAATAGGTCTGATTCGACGATGCTTGAAGAATAGACCATCACTTATGCCTACTTCTATGTGTATCTATAAATTCAAATGCCCCTGTGGATGTGAGTATATTGAGCATTGTAATCAGGCCCTCCGAAAATGTGTTTCTGAACGTTACCCGGTTTGGCTTACCAAAGATGAGCAAAGGAAAACGACTTCATCCATATGTGAACGCCTAGTAGGATTAGGTCATTCAACACCCCGAGATTCATCCTTTAAACTAATTGATAAAGTTAAATTGAACTACTCTAAAGGTTTACGTTTCCACCACTTATGTATAGCTGAAGTTACAAGTTATGTATGAACAAAAACGGAAACTTTACATTCAGAAACGTTTTGTGAAACCACTTTTTCTATCTTGGCCTCAACAATTCATTTTGTTGATTTTTTTCAATTTCATTTCACTTTGATATATTTCTCTTTTATTATCATCATTATCACCAATTTTT